GTGAAGTTGGAGGAAGAGGAAGCTCTCCGCACACTCACCGGACCTGGGCTAGGACTGGGTCTGGGGGCTCCCGGAACTCGGCCATAAGCTTGAATCCTAAACACGGATGTACATTTTGACAATTTTTTTCTTCTTTTTCTAGCTGTAGCTAGTTTGCTGTATGGGGGGGTAGCTCAAACAGAATTAGATACTATGATTATTCAAATTTATTTTTTAGTCTGTGAGTATCTGGATTTTTTTATTCATAATTTGCATAGCTTTACTTATTTATTCATTAGACTTCCCAGATTTTGCAATTTTATTTTATTTTATTTATAACAGACTTGTATGGATCTATGATCAATTCCTATGTTACTTTCGGCTTTACTATCTATTCATTTCTACTTTGAGTATTATTTTATCTCCAAATCTCCTCACATCAGTCCTTACTGAGAATACCTCTCATTTATTGATTCTAGAGAATAAAAAAAAAAAAAAAGAAAAGAAACGTAAATGCCTTTCATGAGGAGAAAGAACACCAAGGTAGTGGAAGGATCAGACAACACACAGACAAATCAGGTAAGAGTACGAGGAGGAGGTAGAGAGAGGGTTAATAAGTGAGGTATGGCCAGAGAAGTGAGAAATACCCACTAGGAAACATGGAGACTCACCCTGGGGTTTGGCATGTGAAAGTAGATCCATACATTTTTACTGAATAATTAAGCACTGGAGACTGATTCCTTCAACTCTGTCTTCTTACAGGGACTTATGGAGCCAGAATCAGGGGCCAATGAAACAGCTATTACTGAGTTTATTCTACTGGGCTTGGTGGAGGCATCAGGGCTTCGACCAGTTGTCTTCATGCTCTTCTTCTTTGCCTATCTGGTCACAGTAGGGGGAAACCTCAGCATCCTGGCAGCCATCTTGGTGGAGCCAAAACTCCACACCCCCATGTACTTCTTTCTGGGGAACCTCTCAGTGCTGGATATTGGGTGCATCAGTGTCACTGTTCCTCCAATGTTGAGTCAACTTCTGTCCCACAAACGTACAGTTCCTTATGGAGCCTGCCTTACACAGCTCTTCTTCTTTCATCAGTTAGCTGGTGTAGACTGCTTCCTGTTGACAGCCATGGCCTATGATCGATTCCTGGCCATCTGCCGGCCCCTCACCTACAGCACCCGCATGAATCAAACAGTCCAGAGGATATTGGTGGCCATGTCCTGGGTGTGTGCCTTCACCAATGCATTGACCCATACTGTGGCCATATCCACACTCAACTTCTGTGGCCCCAATGTGATCAATCACTTCTACTGTGACCTCCCACAGTTGTTCCAACTCTCCTGCTCCAGTACCCAACTCAATGAACTGCTGCTTTTTGGTCTGGGGATCCTCATGGCTGGTGCACCTGTGATTCTCATTGTTACCTCATACATCCACGTGGCAGTAGCAGTCCTGAGAATCCGCTCCGCTGAAGGCAGGAAGAAGGCCTTCTCCACATGTGGCTCCCACCTCACAGTGGTAGGCATCTTCTATGGGACTGGTGTCTTCAGCTATATGAGGCTGGGCTCAGTGGAGGCTTCAGACAAGGACAAGGGTATTGGCATCCTCAACACTGTCATCAGCCCTATGCTGAACCCACTCATCTACAGCCTGAGGAACCCTGATGTGCAGGGTGCCCTGCAGAGAGTGCTCACAGGAAAGCAAATTATGATGTAAAGGGTGTCTCAGGAGAGCCCAAACAAAACAGTGGCAGTGTCTGTCTCTCTTAGATCTCTGAGCAAGATGACTTTGCTTAGAAAGTAATATTCTTGC